ATCCTAACATTGCTGGACAGTTTCACAGTGCTACTTCAGTTGAAACAATGTTCTATTATGATGACAAATTTCTTGGACAAGTTGTTGCTGAAAATGTCCTTGAATGAGACGTTAAAAGCAATGTCCACATTAAAATAAAAAGAATGATGATTGCAAACATATTTATAAAAGAAAAAATGAACATTTATTTATTTTTTTTCCTTTGGATCCAGCAAAGCAATGCAACTGCGATCTGTGGATTAGAGGTGCAATGCTCTGGTTCCTGCAGATTCTCCATCTCATCCCGGTTTTACCAAGGCACACGCATTCCATAACAAAGACAGGTGGAAGTGTCAATAGACTGCTAGTGCTCAGTGTTCAGGCAAGATTCTCCATGGCCACCTCCGGCTGAATATCTCACTTTAGCAAAGGCCCCATACACACCTATATTTAAGGTACAATTAGGGATTCCTGCATAAGAACTTGTGATTTCCTGCAGCAGGAATCCCTAATCCACCGTTTACCATCAGCAGCTTTCACCCGTTCAAGTTAATGATCGGGTGACAGCATTTGAAAGCGGCAGAATGCCAGCATACCACAAGTAATCTAATGTGATACCATTACATGGGGTTAGGAATCAACCACTATCTGGATGCATCGATCATGCGTCCAGGGAGAGTGATTGATTCAGATACGATTACATGCCGCGTGGCGGCGTTCTGTCGCTTTCAAATGCAGTGGCTTTCACCCGATCATTAACTGGCACGGATGACAGCTGCCGTTTGGAAGCAGCAGATTAGGGATTCGTGCAGCAGGAAATCACAAGCAGGGCGGCTGCTGGTGTGAACGGATCCTAAAGAAAATTGTACAGACTGTAACGTCTGTGGTGAACTTAAAGTGACACTAAGCTAAGGAGTTTATGGACTCCTTAATTAATTACATCTCAATACACATTAAAAAAATAGCGAGCTTGGAGCAGTGGCTACTTTACAACACACACAGGGACCATGGGGAACAAAGGTAGCCACCCTCCAGTAGGAAGGACAGTGTCAGAACCAATTCAGAGTTGATTTGAGAATCTACAGCTACAGAGTGATACACAAATAAGAAAATAAGATACATTTTTGTTAATAGTTAAGGTACTTGAACACATTTTTAAGATTTAACTCAGATTTAGGCAAATGGGCATAAAGAAAAAGTAAAATGGTTCTGTATATATTAATATTTCAAACATTTTACAACACACAGAAAACTATGAACAAACGCTGCACATTCAGATCGTTGATTGCACTGTTGTGACTACAGTAGCTGCAGCGCACAAAGAAAAACAATACGTCAACGCAGGACTTCCACATCCTGTCCCTTTAAACTAAGTCAGCTGACTTCTGCAAGAAAACAACTTGACTACGCCCAGCCTGTCAGCGCAGCCTAGCCTGCTGGGCTGGCCTCTCTAACCTTCATGGTGTGCGAATGGCAAAAGGAGACTGATACATTCTGTGGTTGCCATGGAGATCAGAGGGTGACTGGAGGAGACCGTCTGTAGAATGCATCAATGTAGAACTAGCACACATCATTCAAACCCTGCAGCTGGAATATTTAGACAATTATGTTTTATTTGAAATATTAAAGAAGATATGTCGTAGATCTTCACACCACACTTTAAATAAAATATTTATTATTATTAATAATAATAATAATAATAATAACAATAAAAATGGTATGATATATATTTATGTCTCCAAACAAAAATGTCTGTATTGATGATTTGGAACATTTAAAATAATATGAAGAAATATTTCAATGGGTGCACACTTTCCCCCTCCACATGGTATTAGGCGTTTAGATGCATGGTTATGCCACACTAAAACTGCACTGATAGTTCTATACCATTGGGGGAATTGATCAAAACTGGAGCAGACAGAATATGGAGCAGTTGCCCATAGTAACCAATCAGCTTCTCTCCTTGGAAATGAATGGGCTGTCTAAACACTACACATGTGACATAACGCACTTTAGTGTGCATACGTTAACGCAAAGCACTGGAATAGGGAAGTGCAAATTTGCCCTTAGAATGGCAATGGGGAGCTATTCAGAGGATGCCTGCCATTTGTCTAAGAGATCCTACAATAACAAAATTGAAGAGACCTCAGGCTTTACCCCTGGGACAGTGTGACTGCATCTTGCACAATATTATCGCTATTTAACATGTTGCAATGTAGGCGTTTTATTCCGGATCATGTTGCTGCCAGATACCTGGTGCTGAATATATTCCCATACCTGTGTCCTTTATATGTGCATAGGTAGAATGGTGTATCATTCTGTGTGATAACCACTGCACTATTGCTACAGTAGTGATACAGAGACAGGACCATACCACTTCTCTGTGTCTGCCACTGCAGACAGTTATTATAGATTGTGACACTGACACTGCATTTAAATTTAATATATACCATAAAACTTGAATTTGGTGTCAGAAGTTACATAATAGTTTAAATAGCAGGTTCTCAAAATGCTCTTCTGGAAGTGCAGATTCCTGATTTATAAGTGTACATATTGTGGTGAGTCAGCAGGGCTGAGAGCAAAGAAGGGGTTAACTTGGGAGGGCAGGTACTTCCCCTACAGCCCTTCCTGTTAAAAGGTAACACAGGTGATTTTGCTGAAGAAAGCTGTTTGTTCTGTTACCGCTGGATGAAATAAAAACGTTTATTTATATCGGACTGTGTTGAAGACGCATGTGTACCCCTGGGGTTCCCCACAATATACATACCCCCAACAGTCCCACATTCTGAGGGACGGTCACAAGATGTCAACACAACCCGAGGGTCCTCTGAAACTAGGCTGTGTCCCACTGCCAGATTGTTCCAGCACCCGGCTTCAGCTCCTTGCCTGCTCTGGCAGACAGAATGGCCTCCAGCCCTACAGTAGAAATATAGTTGCGGCAGAGTGATGCCATTGACCATCAATGTCCCCCCTTTTCCCCCAGTGAGGACCAATGTGCCCTCTTTCCCCTTCACTGAACAACAATGTCCCCTCTTTCCCTTCTCTGAGCACAAGTGTCTCCCCACTAAGCACTAATGCCACCCTTTTCTTCCCACTGAGCATCAATAACTTTCTTTCCCACCACTGAACACCAAAGTCCCCCTATTCTCCACACTAGGCACCAATCTATCCTCTCTCTTCCCCCCCCCCCCGCCCCCCACAAACC